ATTAAACATTAATTATCTACCATGGACCCTTATTGTTAAGTTTGATGATATTAAAACAATGTTTAAATATAAAAATTAGCGTGCTTATCATACCTATACCGTCTAGTCTTTTCCATCTTCTCTTTCGATTGATGGACGGTGGTAGCCGCATCATCAAAAAGTCATGGGCTGACTTTTTATCAAAAATAATAGTTTAGAAACAATTTTCAATGGAAATAGTATGTAAGTATATAAAAGGTAACACATTTTTCTTTTTTGTATAAGGGATATTATATTTTTGTGCAAATTTTTATAACAAAAAAAAACAAATTTTTCTCAAAAAAATATATTAAAGTCATTATATTTGTATAAATGTGATACATATAGCCTAACGGCAGAATAAAACAGATCTGTCACTATTACAAATGAAACATAATTTGATATAAATAAATTTAAACACTTATTAATAAATTTAATAGTTTCCATAATTTATATTATAGAACAATTTTTAATGAGTTTAACTATATTATTATTATTATTGTGTAGGAGTTGTTAATGTATTATCTGTTGATTTTAATATCCAAATTGAATATAATTCTTCTTCTACACAGCCATCGGTAATGGTTTTTATCATCTCTGAAAATAATTAAAATTGTAAAATTTAAGCTGATATTTCCAAAGATACATATATTAGTTAGCCGGGTAAGTCGGTGAACATATGGTTTATAACATTGTTCAAACAATATAAACATGTTTATATGAGATCATTAAAAAAAAATGATAACTTAATGTTAAACAACAAATTATCTATAGAAAATTAGTAAAAAATTATTAAATTTTATCATGCAATTACAAAAAAAAGGTTCATCGAATAAAAAACATCATAGAAATAATAATTGCTTAATTTTTTTTACAATCACATCATTAAACTAAACAAATGGCTTTTGATTAAAGAAATTTAACTTTTAGATTTTTTAACTATGAATAGATGAAAAAAAATATTTTACTACATATTACTTTCGAATTTTTTAAATTTAACAATTTTTTCCCTTACTAAAAAAATTTGTAATTATCAATAGTTTTCATGGAAATGAGTGTCTTCTCCCAAAGTGTCTCACCCTATATAATGATAATGATTCATATTTATTATAATCCTTAAACAAATTAATGATATTTTTAATGTGGACAATAAAAATTACCGTATGAAATTCTAATATGATTATCAAAAAAAATAAAATAGTTTATTTGAGAATTTCAATTGTATTTTATCAAACAGTGTCTAAAATTAAATAAATATATTGTATAGAGTAACATCACCAATTAATGAACATTACAAGTGAACAAATACCTCCAATATTTTACCTAAACTTTTTCTAAAGTGGTTGGAACAAGTTTCAGGTAGTAATTTTTATAGCAAAAAATNCCTAAAGTGGTTGAAACAAGTTTCAGGTAGTAATTTTTATAGCAAAAAATATCTAAATTAAGTTCTGACAAGTTGTCATAATTTTTGATACAATAACATTAACTATTCATTCGCTGGAAAATTCCAACATAAAATAATAAATTAAAAATTTTATCTTGATTAATTATAAATAATTTTACATTTAATTTTAGATAATTTTTCGGAGAAAAAACATTTATTAAATAAATGAATGTAGAATCAAAATGAAAAGTAATTAAGATCTTTATCCAATGAAAAACTCGTAATTGATCATTCACTGATGAAGTCACTCTACTTATTGTACTTATTTCTAACACAAACGTTGAATAAATATCTATTTAAATAACTAATAACCTTCAATTAATATAATCTAATTAATTTTAATTATAAATTATAAATGTTCAGAACCGAGTTAAAAAAAAATAATCTAACGGTATAGAAAAAAGACGAATTTTGACCCTTGTAATTGTTACATAATGTAGAAATAATTTTATACTTTTAAAGAAGTTATGGTGAATACCTTTATAACTGATGTTATCATTCTCAACTTTACATTTTTTGATTATTTTATCTAAGGCCTCCTCAGTTAATTTACCACGAAACAAATTGCTCTTTGAAAACTCNAGGGCCTCCTCAGTTAATTTACCACGAAACAAATTGCTCTTTGAAAACTCATCTTTTGCACATTGTAATTTGACGATGCCATCATTATTATTATCATTATTATTTGTAATTTTTCGTGAAAGATTTTCTTTAAGAATAGCTTCATCATTTTTCATTATCATATACTGATCATCAAAAAGTCCATCTACCAATAATTCGTCATTATCTAAAGAAATACCAAAAAATAATTATAGAGCATAAAAACATTTTCTTTTATGTAATTTCGCATCTCAACAAATCTAAAAATAAATATACTAAAAAATCAAAACTTGATTTTTTTATCATCTTGTTGAGAGCGAACTAATTTCTGAATTATTTTTCTAATTTTAATCTAATTCACGGAGTAACACAAAATTTTTTAAAAATAACATAGTCATTAATAAAATATATTATATTATAACTAGACGACTTATTCAGAAATTGATACAGTTAAACATTTTTCTGCTTAATATTCATCGAATATCTGAAAAAAATTCTAAGATTTTTCTTAATCTACAAATGACTTCCTAAAAACTATCCTATAAAAAATTTTTCACACACTTTAATTGATATTATCATGTTGCATAAAAATAAAAACAACTTTTTTTTGTATATTT